CCCCCTTTGATCAGCCTAGATACAGTATGCCTGTGGTCTCCCCTTTGGTCAGCCTTAACTTTTTCGGCACTTTTTCAAAGATAGAAAAAATAACTAAAGGAATTTAAAGAATTTCAAGAATGTCAGGAATTTAAATCTATATATAACTTTGTCTTTTTGCCACTTCAAAAGTGGATAAAAAGTAGACGAAAAGTTAAGGTTATAGCCTTACTTTTTTGGCACTTTTTCAAAGATAGGAAAAATATCTAAAGGAATTTAAAGAATTTCAAGAATGTCATGCAGGAATGTAAATCTATATAATTGATTGTGATCAACTGCAAGGTCTGGCCAAACTTACATCGGTGCTTTTTGTTCGTGGCATGAGATTGGGGCAGCTCGCTTGTGGGCCACGAAAGATCAAGCCGAAGTACAACCAAACCACTGATTTGTGGCCAGCTTTTTGTCTGTATTGGCTTTACCCAGCGTTTTCCCGTTATCATTTTGATGCAGACTTTGGGAATTGGCTTGAATATCTTTAATATAAACGTTCTTTGAGGTTTAATCTTTCCAGAATTTCATGGTTTTTGACTAGTTAAGGTGTTGCTTGCAGATATATAATTGTATTAAAAAAATTTAACCAATAAAATTGAAAACTAGTGTGACCAGATATTTTGCAAGGCAATTACTAAATAAGCATGCAAAAAATTACTAAAACGCAGAACAAATTACTAAATTTCTGCTCAACCAAAGTGGTCTGAAAACCAATAAAACATCTCAGCAAAACAAAATCAGTAAAACGCTTTCCATCACTGAAACTATGTTTTTTTCCAGTTTTTCTTTCTCACTTGTACAGTTGATTGAATTTGTGCAAAATGCAAATATGGCACCGCAATGATTGGGCCCGGGCCCTGGCTCCCTAGCACGCAATCAGCACAGGGTGAATGGTGATCAGCAGGATTCCGTCGATTCAGCTAGGCAGTTTGGGCCAGTAGCTTGCAATTTGGATGTACAGCTTTGCAGGCATGGACCTGTAACTGTTCTCATTGGATTTTGAATAACAAGTTGTGTCATTATGGCGTATTTGGTTGAATTTCATGCGATAACCAAAATATTACTAACTTTAAAGCCCGCCGCACACGAGCGCACTTGTCACGCGTACTTGTTATTCGTGACAAGTTGGATCTACAAAATTTCCTTGTGTGCGGGGGCAACATTTACTGCATTTTCGTCATCGTGACATGTAAACCAAATATCAAACATGTTTGATATTTTTCGTCATTCGTGACAAAAAAATTCTCGTGTGCGGCGAGCAAACGACAAGTTCGCCTGAATAGGAAAATTCGCGCATGCGTGCAACTTGCAGAATTAAAAACAAGACACGAGCTCGTGATTTTGATCCGCCATGTTGTTTTTAATTCTGCAAGTTGCACGCATGCGCAAATTTTCCTATTCAGGCGCGCTTGTCGTTTGCTCGCCGCACACGAGAATTTTTTTGTCACGAATGACGAAAAATATCAAACATGTTTGATATTTGGTTTACACGTCACGAATGCCGTAAATGTTGCCCGCACACGAGGAAATTTTGTCGATCCAACTTGTCACGAATAACAAGTACGCGCGACAAGTGCGCCCGTGTGCGGCGGGCTTAAGAGAAACCAAAAATTTTCAATTACCAAAAAAGTCAGAAAAATTGCGAAATATTACCAAAAGTAATTAAAATTACCAAATCTGGTCACGCTGTTGAAAACTGACCAAAACGTCACTTGAGGTGTCGGATGGGAGGTCCAGTGGGAGTCGTAGCGGATAACAATGGATAAATACGGATTACCGTTTATTATTGAAGATCGATACTGTGAATGTTAATGGATTATTATGAACAATAATGGATTATTCTGAACATTGATGGATTACACAAACACTTCAGGATTATTGTGAACATTAGTGGATAAAATGTACCTCGCGATCGACTGTTACCTAGCAATGTACCTTGATAACGAAAGCTGCACGACGGCAACGAGAGGACTGCCTCAAGGTTAGGGACGGACCATTAGAAAAGTGATGGGGTTGGAGCAAAACCAAAAAATTTATTCCCAGAAAAAAATTAAGAAAAAAAAATCTTTCCAGGCATAGTGCAAAAAAAAAATTCCTTGCTTCGAAGATAGGCCAAGTGGTGTACTGGAGGGAGGACTCAGGGGGGCTGAGCCCCCCTTGTTGAAATTTCATGTTGACTTGGGGGGCTGCACGTTGGTCAAATTTAGCAAAATTTCTCCCACTCGTGCGGGTTCGTATTGACAGCGGACATCTTACAGAAAGTGGCCAGTTCTCTGAAAAATGCAAAAGTTTCAATTTTACACCGCAAGTCCACTGACAATATGAGCCTGCGGTCCTGGGAGAAAGATACATGCTATCAGGGCGCTATAAAACACGGGCGGTGAAACGGAGATAGCGCCCCTGATTTTTGTGTGATGCGCGTACCCCCCGTATACATTAATTTAATGTCAATAAAAATGGAAATGGATGCAAAAACGAGCTGAAAAAACTAAAGTAAAAAATGTTTTCTGCACATTCCTAAACAACTTGATGGTTTGAAGACATTGTTGGATTCATTTTCTGTATATCTGATGAAGGAAAGAGGGCTTTAAAGATTCATCATGAGCGAAATAAAAATTTGAAAAGGATCGAGTTGATCGAATGTGGGCATATTCCAAAAATATTATACGAAAATTTATTAGCGCGTTTCCCCGCCCGTGTTTTATAGCGCCCTGATCATAGAGATTATAAATAACACTAGAGGAGGCATCGAGTTTAAAAATTGGGAACGCAGCTAATGGGGGGCAAATTCAAGTCCCGGATAAAAAATCGTGCTCTCATTGGCTGATTTGAAACTCGTCACCAATGAGAACACGAATACACATCCGGGACTTGAATTTGCCCCCCAATAGTAGCGTTCCTTTTTTTACTGAATAAAGATTACAATGCCCCTCTAGTGTTATTTATAATCTCTATGGCCCTGATGCTATCAGGGCGCTATAAAACACGGGCGGGGAAACGCGCTAATAAATGACCGTGCTACGTGTGATGCTCATTAGGATTGGCGCGAGCGCGCTTTCTCTAAAAAAATCAGAAAATCGCGTACAAGATGGCAACAAAAAAATGTAAACAAGCAAACGATAAAACAAAGGATTTAAATGCTAAGTAATTATGTTTCGTTCATTAAAATTTGAAATATTATTTAATAAGTTATATCACGTGTAATAGCTTGTGTTGTTTGTTACTGAACACTCGGTGAATGAAAATATCAGGGCAAAAATTTTACTCGAGCGATGAAAATATTCGCAAAATTCAAAGCGCGGACGTGTTTAAAATAGTGTTTTCTCCTCGTTGAGATAGGTTGAGATAAATTTGAACACACCAAACTATAGACATTTAACTTGGCTTTATGTCTCCAGTAAAATTGAACGGTGCTTTTTTGTGCTTTTTTCAGAAAAAGGAGATATTTTGCAGCCTTTATAATTTTCCGTATACTCCACACGACAATAGAGACAACTCATTTATGCAGATAATACGATATTTAAACAACACAAATTTTCAATTATTAATTAAACGAAATCACTTCCTGCCTCAAATACATACTATAAATGTTTATTGAAGTATCTAGTATCAGCTTATATTGCTAAAATTGGTATCTATTTCACTTGCAAAATGAACAAAGCGATTGTTGAGGAAAAGACATCCATTTTGAACTCGATTTTGACGACATTTTTTCTTTCTTGTCAAAGCGCGGACGTGTTTAAAATAGTGATTTCTCCTCGTTGAGATAGGTTGAGATAAAATTGAACACACCAAACTATAGACATTTAACTTGGCTTTATGTCTCAAGTAAAATTGAACGGTGCTTTTTTGTGCTTTTTTCATAAAACGGAGATATCTTGCAGCCTTTATAGTTTTCCGTATACGGACCACACGACAATATAGATTCGCGAGTACTATATTCATGCACATAAGACGATATTTAAAAACACAAATTTTCATTTATCATTTGAACGAAATCACTTCCTGCTTCAAATACACACTATAAACGTTAAGTGAAGGATCTAGTATCAGCTTGTATAGTTAAAATTGATATTTATTTCACATGCAAAATGAACAAAGCGATTGTTGAGGAAAAGACATGCATTTTGAACTCGATTTTGACGACATTTTTTCTTTTTTGTCAAAGCGCGGACGTATTTAAAATAGTGTTTTCTCCTCGTTGAGATAGGTTGAGATAAACTTGAAAACATCAAATTATAGACATTTAACTTGGCTTTATGTCTCACGTAAAATTGAACGGTGCTTTTTTGTGCTTTTTTCATAAAATGGAGATATTTTGAAGCCTTTATAGTTTTCCGCAACACTGTCACTGCAATGTCAACGACTACAATCGTACGAAAAAAGATTCACGCTGAATATTTTTGGAGTGTCGGCGGCAGTTATACTCCAATAATAGAAATCAAATCAATTAGTAAAAACACTTTATAATGAACTTTCAGTGGATTTCCAAGCAGGCCGGCTGATTAACACAAAAAACGGTTATATATTTAAGTTTTCAAATTGTCGAACAAAATGAAATTGTAGTTTGTTTTTTTTTCAAATTCTACCTGTTTTAAATGCATGCACTGTCAATTTTGGGCTATATATGTTTATTGAAAAAGAGTAGCCAAGCAATGTCAGAATATTCTTACTGTGAAAATGTTTGTCCTACCTTCGCATTATGAAGTAAAATATCCCATTTCATACCAAAATTTTCGTATTTGGAAAATGCCCACATTCGATCAGCTCGATTCCTTTTCAAATTTTTATTTCGCTCATGATGAATCTTTAAAGCGCTTTTTCCTTCATCAGATATACAGAAAATGAATCCAACAATGTCTTCAAACCATCAAGTTGTTTAGGAATGTGCAGAAAACATTTTTTACTTTAGTTTTTTCAGCTCTTTTTGCATAAACAATATTAAACATTCCAATTCCATTTATATTGACATATAAATTAATGTATACGGGGGGTTCTCGCATCACACAAAGATCAGGGGCGCTATCTCCGTTTCACCGCCCGTGTTTTATAGCGCCCTGATGCTATCGAGTTTGTGCGTGCGTTAAACACTCAGGTCGACTAATTAGGGCTGTATGCCTGCGAACAGGCCGTAAAACAAAGATGGCGGCTTTCTACAGAGTGACGAGTGGTGACGATTGTTTTATCCTAGAAGATTAATTTATTTATTTCGCCCAATCATTATGGTAATTATTTACATAAAAGTATTAAAGCTACAACTTTAAATGGGGCTAGGAGTCTAAAGAAACCTTCATAGGCTTTTAAGGTAAGGCCCTAGTTTAATGTCCAGTGCAAAGTTTTATATTGCATGTGTCAGTGCCAGTAAAAGTATTTACAAGAATATGAAGATTAATACATTAATATTGCTTTCACTAGTAAGAATAAAGTACATAAGAAGGAGAAAATTTGGAGAGCTATAAAGACATAATCTGTTAATTACATGAATATGAATTAGACTTCCTTGTTTAAAATATAAGTTCACTAGATTGTATTGACAATGTCAATTATGTATTTTCGATTTTTTTTAAAGATTGGTAGTGATGTTATTTTTGTCAAGCTAACATCAAGATTATTCTGAACATCCACTCCTTTCACTGAGAGTGAGTGCTTAGTATAATTAGTTCAATGGCAATGCATATGAAGTTTCGACGAGTTTCGGGTACTGTATTACTATTGGTGAATTTGGCTATTTGCTATAAAAAAATCCGTAAATGAATGTGGCAAGTTTTGTAAATGATGGTATCGGTCATGAATAAGCTTATCATTGCCCGAAGTAACATCTTAAAGCCTTTTCGTGCAATGCATGGTTACTCACGAAAAGGCTTTAAGATGTTACTTCGAAAATGGCATTTGCAGCATTCTGAGAACACATTTTGTAAAAAACTAGGTTTTAAAAACACTGTTTTAATTAATGGTATTAAATTACAAGGTTTTAATTAATGGTACTATTATATAAGTGTGATTTGTGTTATTTGGTACAAGATTTTTACAGTTTATCAAAATTATAGGAGGGGCTCAGCCCCCCCCCCCCAGTGTCTGCCACTGGCAGTTGACTGACAGTTGATTGCAGTAGAGAAGAGACTGCAATCTGAACATTCTTTGTCATATCATCAAATATAAACAAAGTGACTAGCTGGCAGCTGGGTATTTATTATAGTGACTATAGTTAAATATAAAAAACTTTTGTTTGCACTAGCTTTCACCGAGCTTGCCGTTAGAGTGTATGGTATAGGCACTGTGTGCGGAAAGTGAAACGCAGTCTGGGTCGGGTTGTGTTTTGTTTGACTTAGCATTTTTTCTTAGTCACTATATAGCCGGCGGCAGTTTACTAAATAGCTGGTTGCCAGCTGTATAGTCACTTCGAAATTTAAATGTTTACTCAATAATTGTGAATGAAATTTTTTCATAGCAACCATGGATTTCCTTTGCGCAGATACATGTACGCCTAGCGTACCTATTTTTAAAACTAGTAATGTTTTATTCAAACTGGTAAATATTTTCAAAGCCCCCCCTTCTCTCGTCTCTCTGTATTTTTCAAAGCCCCCCTTTCAAGTTTTAAAAAATTTAAAGCCCCCCCCCCAGTTTCTCCTCAATCCCCCCCTGTACAATAAATAATGAGGGGTCCCTAAAGCCCGTTCTTCACTAGGCGAATTTATTCGCGCGAACAGATAAAAAGTAGGAAGCGATCCTACTTTTTCGCCGACCAATCACGTTGTCGGATTTCGGTTTTCGCTTGGCGTCGCGCGAACAAATTCGCGTAGTGGAGAACGGGCTTTGTTTGCTGTGATTTTCGGCTTTAATAACACCTCTCGAGTCGCATACGGGACTTTGGGGGCGGGTTTTGGCGGGAAAATCTGTAATGTTTGGAGAAGACAAGATGGCGCTGGACTCTGGTTACCTCGTGTCATATCAAAGGGCATTTTTGTTTACAAATACCCGCTTATTTTACGTTTTAGCGACTCGTTAGTCTTGAAAATTATAACTCAATGGACAGGGAAAACGATTCTGTATTAAGGAGAAAAAGATGTGCAGTTATTGTGATGTTATTTGTTGTGAAAGACGGCCCGAAATTTCGCTACTTCGCTTTACTGGTTTATAAAACATTTAAAAGCAACAGCAATTGAACTATATCACAAAGGAACCGATGTATACAAGCCAATCAAGTTCTTCAGTTTAAAGGTCAGTTTACTTTTTAATAATTAGTTCATTTAGTTGTATATTAATACGAAGTACTGGAACAGTACGCCGAGTTTGATTTGCTATATTGAAATTTGTACTGTGGTCGGAATAAGATAAGGTATGGATAGACAGAGCCCAACCCCTTCTCTAACCCTAACCAATAAATGTGTAATGAACTATTTGAGAGTTAAAAAGGTTGAGGGGACAATCGGGGGAAACGAGGGGGAATTTGGTATTTTATTTGTGTATTCTGCCTGTGAACCCCGGGGAAATTACAAACTTCGCAATAATAGGACGACGGGGGGAGGGGAAGTAGGGGACTTTGACGTGACAATTTGAATTTTATAAATGAACTGCACAATTGATGCGAACTCAAAATTGCAGGCTCACAGAGAAAAGTATCGATCGCAAACTTATTATATTTTGTAGTGGTCTTGCTAAAATTTGAATAAATAAATACAGAAAACATGAGTGCCATTGTGATACCCCAGTTTGTATGATAATTTTTAGTTGTTTGTATGCTATTTATATTATGAACAACTTTATTCTAAGCCCCAGGGGGAGGGCAGTTTGACTTACACATTTCCCGGGGGAGGGAAGGGGAATTAATGCATTAGAATCATGTTTTTCAAAGTCCCGGGGGTGTACCCCCAGGGCAGGCCGTTGATATGTGCATAAGGAAAATTTCTACTGTCGGAAACTGTCGTAATTTAGAATTAGTATTTTTGTTCACGCGTGGGACGCGCGAGTCCAAACTTTAAACACTTCGGAAAGTTCCGGATTATACCGGTGGTTGTTGTTTTTTCAAGAGAACTTAAAAACATGTGGCTGTAAAACTGTGAAATTGGTGATTTTGTAATAGATATTATACTGTGATTTGTTGTCAGGGATGCCGGAACCACGGGTGCAGCGGGTGCAAGTGCACCCCTTGCCTTTTGCATTTTCAACTTTGTGGGTGCAGTACGGGTGGAGAATACGGGTGCACAAAGTGCCCTTTTTGCGTGAAAAATTTTCATTAAAATAATTGCATTTTTTGCGCAAAGGGCATTTTTGAAAAATTCAATCTGTTATTTCCGGAAAAATGTTTTAATTTCCGGAAAAAATAACATTTTCCGGAAAAATTTTTGGTATGTCCGGAAAATTTTTTTCGTATTTAAGAAAAATTGTGGTATGTCCAGAAAATTTTTTTACCCCTAAAATGGTACACTGACCAAAAAATTTTTGGTGACCGGGGGGGGGGGTGAGGTTGCCAAAAATAATTTTTAGATGCCCTTTCATTTTCATTAGTGCCCTTTTGTTAAGGAATATGCCCTCTTGTTAACCAATTGCACCCCTTGCCCCCAGCAACTTCCGGCATCCCTGTTTGTTGTGATTTATTTTGGGCGATACTTGGAGGTAATCCCCAACACTACTGGCTAGGGTGCATTCCATGTAAACTGTACGCCGGACATACGCCAACATATACGATCCTTTACGCCAATACATCGAAGATTTTCAGTTTTGGGGGCTTAAATCCATGTTCTGAAAACATCTAATGTGGTGATTCATGAATCAGGCACAAACTAATCACTTGTTTTTGAGTGATCTCACGCCATTACGCCAACAATTTTGTAACCTCATGCTGGATATATCTGGTGTGAAGTGCATGGAATGCACACTGATCTACGGGGCTGTTTATATGGAAGCCGGACTGGTCCGCTAAACGAGACAGATTTTATATTGCTTGCTGGCCTAGAAATTATTTAATACATTGGGTCATTCCAGAAAACATCCATACCACCCCCACAGAGGAAATAGGAAGTTAACCCCCCTTTGGATGCAGGGTCTTAGCCAGAGGGCCGTGTTGGCCGTGTTATCGCGGCCAAAAAGGGAAAAACACGGCTAGATAAAATGAATGCGGTTTCATTATTTATATAAGGCTGTGTAGGTTCATAAAATAACAGACAGAATTTCTTCCTATTCACTGTATGTTGTAAGAAAGTTTGTAAAATTTACGGTTATTGTTGAAATTGGCGAAAGTGATCTGCATGTGATCTTTTAATGTTTTGGTGGATAATGGGAACTGTATGGTGTTACAATGGTTTTAAATACCCCCAAGAGTTGCTGAAAAAAACTTAATGTTTTAATGTCAGTGCGTAATATGAGCATATGCTTGCCTTGTATTTGGTTGCAAAGCATAGAACAACCACAGATATGTTCTGTTGTTGGCGACCATAACTAGAACCGCTAATTTGGCTATTTGAGGTAATTGACATGTGCACACCCTGGTCATTTAGAAACATGCCCAAGTTCTAAAATCCTAGCTAAGACCCTGTTCGGATGTCCTAATACATTTACTATTTCAGAACCATCCTCAGAGATATACGAAAAACTAGTTTCATATTATCAGAAACAATTTTTTCTTCCCTCCCCTTCCGGACAGCAGAAATTTCCTCTGTGGGGGGAGTATGGATGTTTTCTGGAACGACCGATTGCACTCAATGGACCATTTGCATTATAGACTAAATTTTGAACTAAACTGAAGGGGGGGGGGGGGGAATGTGGATATGTTTGTCTGAAGGTTTGAGACTGTGATAAAGTTATGTGATCGGTGATTATAATGAGCACGCAATTTTTATCGGCTATATGTAGCTCTTGAACACCGGAACGTTTATGTAACAGCAATAATTATACGTCCACGTAACTCGTAAGCAAAATAAGCGGCCCACTTTTGCATGCATGGCCACCAAAAACTAACTCGCTGTAACAGCGTATCTTGCATGTTGAGAATGAGTCGAAAATTGACACGCTTTATTTATATAAAAGTTTTGCAGTTTTCGTTTGTATATACAGAGCTTTCAAAATAACCCGGCCGGCGGGTGGCACGAGATTCACCGCCGGTTATTTTGTTTTGTACTTGAAATATTGATTCTACTTTCCTTCCTCCACTCGTCTCTGAGCTTTCAAACAAAGTTACTTTTCATCGATCGTGACTAAAACACCACAGTGACCACACGAGTACATACGAGTAACATACGAGTAACACACAGGTACATACGAGTAACACATGAGTACATACGAGTAACATACGAGTAACACACAGGTACATACAAGTACATACGAGTAACACACGAGTACATACGAGTAACATACGAGTACATACGAGTAACACACGAGTACATACGAGTAAAACACAAGTACATACGAGTAGAATACAAGTAAAATACGACTAGTAAACTTGTTTTTAGTGTTTGTAGATTGAATACAGGCAAAAAGATCGTCTTCTCTGTCGAAAAACGTGAAATAGACTGAAACCGGCTATCTTTAAAACCCGGAACGGGGAATGGGGGGACGGGGAATGGGAGAACGGGAAGTGGGGGAACGGGGAACGGAGGGAATGGAGGGGCGAGGGGGGAGGGAGGAAATAGGAGACAGGGAGCGGGGGAGGTCTGCCAGATTCTATAAACCACAACTTTGTAGTTTGTACAACATCTACTTTTAGGTATTCTACCTAGATAGTTAGATACATGACACAAACCATAGGCTTCACATATTTCACGGCATGGTTTGCTTTCAAAACCCTGTGAGCATGCACAAAACCTAACTCACTAACTGCATCTACTTAAAATAGTACTAGGTGATAAACTTACAATCCTCACATAGCCTCAATCACAACATGTGGCTAGGCAAATATACGAACTACACAGTTAACTTATACCGTGACGACATACGACAGTTCCGAGACCGAAATACAGGACAACAGGGCCTTTTTTAAGGATTTTTCCGTGGGGAGGGGGTATTTTTTGAAAAGGGATCTTAGATAATATATTAGAGGGGGATAGCAATGGCCGACGGCCACGGTGTGTGGCCGACATACTCCCCCAGAAAATGTTTTAAATTTGAACCTTTCAAATACCATTTCCTGCTTTATGAGCGTCTAAATTTGCTCTAAAATTTATGCTAATTATACTTGTATTTGAAATAAAAGAAGGAAAAAATGCAGAAAAAAATAAAAGAAATATTAAAGGTGATCTACAGTCCGATCTGCGCATGTGCACAAATGAGCCCACTTTTATGATACAAACAGTTTAACTATGTTTTGAGTTCTTGAAAAGCCTGATTGTTGTTTCTTGATCATTTATTATACTCTAGAAGCTTGAAAATATAAATAGTTGTCGAATAAAGCTCAATATTTTGGACACAAAAATGTAAACAAAGACTTTGTTTACATACGGACTGTAGATCACCTTTAACAATAATTTATCCATTACTTATTATTAAAGGGGGATAGCAATGGCCGTGGGTCACGTGTGTGGCCGACATACCGCGAATGAATAGGGGGTCTGGAGGCATTAACTCCCCAGAAAATTTTTGAAATTTCAAGCCCAAAAATGCCATTTCCTGCCGTCTGAGCATCTAAATTTTCTAGAATTTATCCTAACTATACTTCTATTTGAAATAAAAGAAGGAAAAAACACACAAAGAATTTTAAAAATATTAACAATAATTTATCATTACTTAGTGTTAGAAACACGTAGGATGCGCACGCGATGACACAGTCCTTTAAATCGATTTTGTTAAACAAGGGCAAAGGATAAAGCCTAAAACGTACGTTCCGTTTATCAATTTGTTATTCTTCGCTGGTTTGTTTGTATAAATTTAGGAAAAAAGGACTTTTCCTGGGGGGGGGGGTGTGAAAGTGAGCCTCAGAACGTGCATTTTCATTTCCGATCAGCCTGCATCAGAGCAAAGTATCCAAGCTTTCTTGGCGACGTTCTCGTTCCTCCAGACTTTCCTCCCCTTCTCAAGGTGGAGCACGTCCAAAGGCTTGCAGGAGAGTTCGGCTGGGTCCTTTAGAAACGTACTTGCCAACTTAAATTGCTAACTTAAAATCTGCGTATTTTGAAGTATTTTGTGTTTTGTTAGTTTTGCTTTGTAAGATATTTAAAATAGGATAATCACTTTAAGATATCATATGGAGCATAAGGACCGCCTTGGGCTTGCATCTAGTCCTTTAAAAGTTTGTTTTATTATATAGCAAGTATATTAGTAATGACATAAGCAATGTTATTATTAGTAATATTACTTAATGATCGGACATAAGCAATGTGGATTGACTTTTTTATGATACGCTGTACTAATAAAGGAAAGCTTCGCTAAATTTCTTTACTAGTTTT